CCATATGTAATGAGATCTGGTGCCCTCTTCTGGTGTGTATGCATTCAGATAACTGTATACATAATAAGTAAATAAAATCTTTGAAAAAAAAAAAAGGATTAGATTTTTATTGTGGGCTTTTTTTTCCGCAACAAAATTTTAGGACCTTTGCATCTTATACTTTCTCTTTGCCTTCTATGAATCACTTTTACAAGGTTCCAGGGTTTTCCAAAAGAATAAGCTTAGTGTTTGATGGAAAAACAAAACAAAACATCTAGGTTAGATGACATCATCTTGCCTTCCTAGATTTTGTAAGTTGTTTTTCCCCTCCCACCTCAGCTCTGAACACTGGAACTGCAGTCATGCATGGCCATCCCAACACGTCTTCCTTATCTTGATCAGGTGAAAGGTCAGAGGGACCCAACTATAAGTTTTAAAACTGTTATACAGTGGGCTGGAGAGATGGCTCAGTGGTTAAGAGTACTGCCTGCTCTTCCAAAGATCCTGAGTTCAATTCCCAGCAACCACATGGTGGCTCACAGCCATCTGTAATGAGATCTGGTGCCCTCCTCTGGCCTGCAGGCATATATGAAGACAGAACACTGTACACATAATAAATAAATAAGTCTTAAAAAAAAAACTGTTATACAGTAAAATTCGTTTCTGTGGTATAGAGTTCTCTACATTTTAATACACAGAAGTGGATCCATGCTAACAGCAACCTCAGGATATAGAACAATTCATTGCCACTCCTCCTCCCCAACAAAAGCCAGGGCCTCTCCTTTGAGAAGCCCACACACACATTCTTAGATGTCTTACTTTCTTCCTGGATGCCTTTCTCATAGCCCTACTGCTTAAAATCTGTGTGAAATCTCTTCACAGACATGAAACTTTGCACACACAATATATAAAGAAATATAACAGCCGGGCGATAGTGGCACATGCCTTTAATCCCAGCACTCTGCCTCTGTGAGTTCGAGACCAGCCTGGTATAGAAGAGCTAGTTCTATGACAGCCTCCAAAGCCACAGAGAAACCCTGCCTCAATCCCCCCCCCAAAAAAGAAATATAACAGTATTTTTTAAAGTAAGGGGGCAAGATGGCTAAGTAGGTTAAGATACTTGCTGCCAAGCCTAACTCCCTGGAACTCCCATTTTGGAGAAGAGAACCAATATCTACAAGTTGTCCTCTGACCTCTCCACAATGTGCCATGGCACACAAACAGACATAATAAAGAAAATGTAATAATTAAAAAGTAACAAAGTTCAACTTGCTTCAAAAACAAACAGTCCCACACCCAAACAAAACAACACAGCCTTCCTTTGCATAGCAAGGGCACCTCAAGGAATGCAGCTTAAGTTTGCTAGGCTGGGGCTCCACTAGGTTTGGGTTGTGCCCACAGTATTCCACTAAAAATGCCTTTAGTAACCTGAGAGCCTGACCTGAATACACCATCCATGCACTCCCATCCCTAAGGAAGAAACCTACCAGCAAATGTTTCTGCAATGAGCAGCACACCCACCCACTCCAAACAGACTTTCTTCTTTCTCCAACAAACCTGGTACACTTTCAAGAGTGGGTTTACTTAAGATTTCTTTTTATGAGTGTCTTGCCTGCCTGTATGTATGTGAACCACATACATGAAGTGCCCCCAGAGGCTGGAAGTGGGGCAGAACCCCTGGAACTGCAGTTGCAGAAGGTTGAGCTGTTCCGTGGATGCTAGGAACAGAAACCCAGGTCCCTCTGTAAGAGCAGCGAGTACTCTGGAGAGCCACCCCACAGCACACTTGCAGTTCTTCCCATGTGGGTTCTAGGGATTGAATCGGGTCACCAAAGTTGGTGGCAAGTGCCTTTACTCATTGAGCCATCTCACCAGCCCAGTCTTGGACAGTTCCATTTCAGACTTATTCCCTGGTCCAGCTAGAACTGGGTATATGCCAAGCTATGTCTCCAAATGAACTTTTAGGGGGAATCCCTACTTGCCAACTTATGCCTGTGAATACTTGGGGTGTGTGTATATGATTAAAAGCAGATGCATTATGAGAAGGGACATGGGAGTTAATAAAGGATGTCAATCAATAAGAGAATCATCCAAACTATGCTCCTAATAGCCAAACTCCTCCCTTTTCAAACCCCACAAAACAAAGCTCCAAACAGTAATTGCAGCCCTTAAGTATCTTTACTCCCATGACTTTCTTGCAATGTATTTGGACCTGTTCTGTGGCTTTGCGATTTTGTAGACCATGTAGGCCTTTATTTATGTTTTATTTTTTTAAAAGTTTATTTATTATGTACACAGTGTTCTGCCTGTATGTATGCCTGCAGTCCAGAAGAGAGCACCAGATCTCATTATGGATGGCTGTGAGCCACCATGTGATTGCTAGAAATTGAACTCAGGACCTCTGGAAGAACAGTCAGTGCTCTTAACCTCTGAGCCATCTATCTCTCCCTTGTTTTATTCTTGAATAAGAGGCCAAAAAATCTGCAAACATCCAGCCCAAAGTCTGCCCACTGGTAACACATTTTGGCAGAGCTAGTCAAGAGGTAAGGAAATAACATTCCTTCCTATCTTAAGGCTAAAAAATTTCCCTCTCTACTGTCCTTTTCACTCTGAAGTCTGTGGCTCACAGCAAGCTGAAGTAGCAAGTTTGGTTGTTCACCTTGACAATGGCTTTTAGATATCTAACCTGAGCTCTTTTATCACAGCCGACAACAGACAAAGCCAGGAGTGGCCAAGCAGGGATAGTGGAGAAGTGTTTCTCATCTAGGGAGGGAGCTTATTTGATGTAAGAATAAAAGTTTGGTGTTGCCACCTTTATTCTGTGTCTCTTTCCCTTTAATTCACCTGCATACCTCTACACACAAGCTAGTGAACTATCCAAGCAAAACCTCGCAGCACAGCAATAAATCACGTGCTTAATGTCTGAATCTCAACAACAGACACTCTGAAACTTAGACATGAAATAAAGAGAAAGCAGGAGAGATAGAAAAAGGAAAGAAAAAGTAAAAACTAAACAAACAACAACAACAAAAACAAAACCTAAGCTGCACATCAGGTTCTGCATCTCAAAGGAATGTGGGGGACCCCAGGTTTTAGTTTCAGGAATAGTAAAACCTAGTGGAATGATTGCAGACCCAGGTAAGACCAAAGCGGAAAGCAGAAGGGAAGGGAAGGGAAAGAGAAGGAAAATAAATGGCAAGTGGCTGCACCTGGTCTTTGCAGCCGCCTCTCTCATCCGCCCCCGTACATAGCAGGGACTACACAGCAGGGCGGACAGAATGCCAGAATCTGTTCCTGGGGAAAAGTGGATGAATGACCAGCAATAGCGCCGCCTCTCTCATCCGCCCCCGTACATAGCAGGGACTACACAGCAGGGCCGACAGAATGCCAGAATCTGTTCCTGGGGAAAAGTGGGTGAATGACCAGCAATAGATGCTTCCCCAAGACAGAGATGGTCAAGAAGGGGAAGATGAGCGAGTGCCTCCTGTTTCTGCTCTTTAAAATGGAACCTAACTTGGGGGGGCGGAGGGAGGATGGTGGATGGCCACAAGTTGAACAAAGCAAGTTCAAGGTCATCTTGGGCTACATGAGACCCCATTTCATGAAAACAAAACAGACTGGGGCAGATCATACAGATTTGATTCCTAAGGATTTGGAGATGGCTCACCTACATATATCAGTGGAAATTCCTAGATTAGTAGTAAGTCTGAGAAACAGAGACAAGCGGACCTATGTGAGTTCGAGGCCATCCTGGTCTACTGAGCGAGTTCTGGGACAGCCTCCAAAGCCAGAGAAACCCTGTCTCAAAAAACAAAAACCCATACACATAATTTCGGTTTTTGCTCCTTTTTCCTACCTACCCCAGTGCAGCGCCAACTGTAAGACCTGTGCTCTCCCTGGCCTCTGTCTGTATGGCTCCAGTGGGCTCATACTTGTGTCCGGAGGTTGGTTCTTTATCTGTGCATATGCTGCTCCCCATCTTGGGTATCTCCTCTCTTCATTTCCTCAGTCACCAGAATCTAACCAGTTGGCTAAGACTTTACTGAGGATGTGAGCTAATCACATTCTGAATGAAGACACAACCTTTGTTCTCTTTAGATGGCCTCCCTCCTCCAAAAACTAAATTCTTGGCATTGCCACTATAGAATATAACACTGTATTAAGACATCTTCCCTTCTGTTGAAGGGCTGAGACTACATCATGTATGTGCAGTTTCTTCCCTGTTCCTGTGATACTCAATCCATGATTAACCAACTCACAGCCTACTCAACAGTCAGGCAGGGCTGTGTACAAGAGAACTAACAGCCCTAGCTTTTCTCACATCTCACCTCCGACGAAGTCTGGTTGTAGCAAAGGATTTATCTGTCTTGCCAGGCAGGGATAATTAGTCTAGAGGCAAGTTCATATTCTGCCCAGGTGGGATAGGGACAGATCTGCCTCTGACAGCCCTGCTCTTGTCCAATAGCTTTTTTTTTTTTTTTTTTTTGGCAGCTTCCTTGAACTATCCTGCAACTAACTGGGAACAGGGTAATTAATTAAATGGTTCAGGGCACTGGATCCAGTCCAAACTGCATCTGTACCACCAATTTCTAAGTTGTTTCAATCTCAGGCCATTCATATACTGTTTCCTCCAATTTATTTACAAAATGACCTAGCAAACCCTTACTAAAGCTGCTGCAAACTTCACCATAGTCAAGGACCTAGAAGATGCCTGATACTCTAGTAGGAATTAGGAAATGCCAAGCGGGGTCCAGCCATGGGACTCCTCCAACACTTAACCAATGTTGCAGTCATCCAGTTAATTCACTCTCCTCCCTTTCTAGCCCCACACCCCTGCCTTACTGTTTTTTATCCTCCACTTAGTAGCAGTTCCACAAGGGTAAAATCTTATTTGCTGGAAGCCGTCACACCCAGAAAGTGTCTTATAAATTAGGCCTTCCATAAATATGTGCCACATGAATTATACAAGTGAAAAAGAAAAAAATATGGTTTTTAAATAGTAGTACAGACAAATTGCCTTATAGTGTTTCCAGCTCTGTATTTTATCACACACTATAATAAAAACATAAGAAAATTTATTAAAAATTGAAGGCAAAATCATAATTTCAAAGGTTAGACCTACGTCAGGTGCGTGCTGATGAATGGATGCTTTCCTGAAATTCAAAATCAGACCCAAGAGTATCATTTTCAGAATGTTCTACAGGATTGGGTTTACTTTTGATTGTCTTGGATGAGACAGTCACTATTCTGTTTTCTTTCTTGACAGAAATGTGTTTTTTCAAAGATTCACTTTTAATTGGCTCATTAAGCAAGGATCGGTTGTCCCCGATACCTTTGCTTTTTGAGTTCACAGGGGAGCCAGGGTCGGAGAGCAGGTCCTTCCCGGAGTGCTTCTCAGGGGCGCTCTTTCTGGAGTGTTCATTCTTCCCACTAGCTTTCTCTGAACATCTGCTGTGTTTGGACAACACCGCTTCTTCCCTTTGACTCCCGCTTCCAGAAATGCCATCTGCTAAAGGGGAACCTGTCCTAGCTGCGAGTCCTACTGCAGATCCCTCCTGCGGCTCAGGGGCTGAGGCTCCCAGGTGGTCTCTGGAGGCTACCGATGCTTCTCTTGTAGAAATGGGAACTTGGGAGGTGTCGAGAGGCAAAGGAATCCTAGCATCATCTCTAATCTTCTGAAACTACAAGGAAAACAAAACTTCAGTACACAAAGCAAGCCACTGAAGACTGAAACTTCACTATAACTGAGCTTTTCAATTTTATTTTTATTATTTTTAGTTAGCAGTGTGTATGTGTGTAATGTGTACACAACTGCAAAGGTTGGAAGAGGGAACAGGAGCCCACAGAGCTATAGTTACAGGTGGTTGTGAGCCCCCAACAAGGATGCTCGGGACTCTACTCAAGTCCTGTGGAAGAAGAGTAGCTCTCTTAAGCCATGCCATCTCTCTCTCTCCCTGTAATTGTGACCTTATTAAGCAGTCAGCTCACCACTCAGAAGATTTTGGTTTTTTTCTTTTTCTTTTTTTTTCTTTTTTTTTTTTTTGGTTTTTCGAGACAGGGTTTCTCTGTGTAGTTTTGGAGCCTATCCTGGCACTCGCTCTGGAGACCAGGCTGGCCTCGAACTCACAGAGATCCGCCTGCCTCTGCCTCCTGAGTGCTGGAATTAAACGCATGCACCACCAACACCCGGCCACTCAGATGATTTTATGGTCACTCATTTTCTTAATTACATAATGCCATGTGACTGGCAACTCAAAATTCAGTGTGTGTGTGTGTGTGTGTGTGTGTATCCAGAGTTAGTCATACAGTGTTCTTAGAATTTTGTGGTTTTTTTTTTTTTTCCAAGACAGGGTTTCTCTGTGTAGCTTTGGAGGAATTTTGTGTTTTATATGATTCTCTTCCATTTCCCATATTAAAAATAAATAAAACCATTTCTAAGAAACCTAGTTTCTAGCCTCTGTGCATACGTGAGAAGCATGACCTGTATGACGTGACCGAGTTGAGTTCTCAAGACAGTAGCTCCTCAGACAAGTCTTAGATTGGCTGCTGGGAGATGGGCTCTTAGTGAGGCAGAAGAAACCACATCAGGGGGTCCTGTGCCAGCCTATGCCAGCCAGCCCACCCCATCCGGTAACTGGGCGACTATGAGACACTGCTTGCTAGGTCTGTCTAGATTACTTGTGTTAAAAGCTCTCTGCCCCAGGACTTGTACCTTCATCAGTGTCCCTTCATTGTAAGCTGACTGCATATAGATAAAGACCTAGACGAGACATGAATACAGTGAGACATTTTTAACACTTTCAATTCCGATTATTTTATTCTTGAAATTCTTTCTTTACGAAAGATAACTTATTCTAAGTATAAATTATCAAAAACCTTCCAGTTTTGGCCTTTTTTCCCTTGAGATAAGGTCTCGTTTTGTAGCCTTGGCTGGTCTGAAATTCACTATGTAGACCAGGCTGGCCTCAAACTCACAGACACCTGTCTGTCCCTGCCTCCCAAGGGCTGGATGAAAAACATGCACTACTATGCCTAGCCCCATCTTCTTACTGACAATGATGCAGTTTCAGGAAATGGGCACAAACTTAACTCTGCCGGAGATAGACCAGCGTTACTTTCTCTGGCCTGGGGAAACTCTTGCTAATGGCTTGAACCGAGGTCTGCCGGGTCTACTTACTTGAATATTCTGCATCTGTCCCACAGCAGTCTGTTCCAGATCTGGCTTTTGTTCCTCGAGAGCTATCTGCTCTTCCACAGGTGCACTAACAGTAGAATTCATCTGGGGACGACCTACTAGGTGGAAATCTGACTGATCTATACCAGCCATTGTGGCAAGTTGCCCAAGTCTGCAGAGAGGAGGAAAAGGCAATCACTTAGGAACAACTTAAATTCACCCACACCTGCAAGCATGAAACACATGTATAAATGAACGCCAAGATTTAAAATCTTAAAAGCTGGAAGCCTACTTCAGACAACAGACCCATGCCAACTGCCACCTTTCACTCATGCTCTGAGACCACTGGATCAGATCATCCAATCCTCTCAGCACCCTATTCACCTCAATAACACATTAAATATCACTTGATTTTCTGTAGCAACCATACCCCTTCATTGTAAATACTGTCTCAACAGCCTCAACCTCTACCATCTCTGTGCATTTGACCCTCTTCTTGGCTTCCCTCTTCTCCAGCCCCGGGCTGTTCCCCCAAAACACTGCTCTATCAACTACCTTCAGCTCTCTCTTTTAACATCGTTTCAGTTTGATTTTGAGACTCATGAAACACAAATTGGACTCTAAGTTTTTATGCAGTCAAGGGTTATCTGTAATTCCTGATTGGAGCTTTTTCCACCACCACACAAGTGCTGAACTACAGGTGTGTGTCTTACCTGACTTGCATCTTCTTTTGACTTTACAATTCTCAGGTGAGAACCACTGACCTATTCCTGTGTCTACAGCACCCCTGGAGATTAACTACCATCCTAAAGCCTAGGGCCAAGAATTTGACTCAAACTTACTTAACAGGCAAAATGAATAAAAGGCAAGAAATCTCCTATATACTCTAAATATTTTCAATAAAAAGTTATCTTTAATTTAGTCTTTTTTTTAATTCGCCAAGGGGTATATTTATAGAAGACAAAACTAAACAATTCGTATGCCCAATGACATTAATTTAGTCTTCACTAATACCAATTATTCTTTATTAACTGCTTATGATGGGTGTTCTAGTGAGGAAGATTTACCACTTCATATTTCTTTTAAAAGGAATTCTCCATTAAAAAACAAATCAAACATATTGATAATCACATATTAGTATCACTCGTGGAAGCTAAGAAGTGTTCAGTTCCTCAGCAAGCTACCATTAAAGCCACTGAAGAGAGAATGCCCACCCTACAGATATACCCGGCATCTTTAAGGAGGTCCAGGAAAGCGTGAAACTTCTGAAAAGAATTCTCAATGCTGCCCAAGACACCTTCATCGTCCAGGATCATGTTTGTCACTGATTGTGCATGGAGGGCTTCAGACAAGGAGAAATTTATATTTCTCAGCTGGGCATTTTCATGTTCCAGCTACAAAACAAGGTTGAAAACACAACAGTATGATTTTCCTCACGATCATCTACAGAAAATGTTTAACATCTAAACTAAAACATTTAAAAACGTAACTAATTTATAATTAATCTAGTACTTAATCAATGAAGACAATAACCATGACACAATAATCTTCACCTCGAGACACTTGTTGAAATTATAACAAGTAGATGAAAATAAAGTTATTGTCTTACTAATGATTTTTCAAAGATCATATCCCGAACTATTTAAATTCATACGGGATCACTGCATATCAGAGAATTAGCCACCCAAGTTTCACCTTTTATTAGAAAATACAACAGTCTGACCAAACTATGATCCTGCTGTAATTAATGCATTAGGGATTAATTTTAACAAGTTGTGGTGGTTTGAAAGAAAATGGCCCCCATAGGGAATGGTACTACTAGGAGGTATGGCCTTGTTGGAATAGGTGTGGCTTTGTTAGAGGAAGTGTGGGGATGGGCTTTGAGGTCTCCTATGCTCAAGCTCCACCCAGTGTCACAGTTGCTTCCTGTTCCCTGCAACAAGATGTAGACATATCAGTTCCTTCTCCAGCACTCTGTCTACTTGCACGATGCACACTTGCCACCATGACGATAAGGGACTAAACCTCTGAAACTGTAAGCTAGCCCCAATTAAACATTTTCCTTTATAAAGTTGCTGTGGGGGCTGGAGAAATGGCTCAGTAGTTAAGAGCACTGGCTGCTCTTTCAGAGGACCCGGGTTCAATTCCCAGCACCCACATGGCAGCTCACAAACTTCAGTTTCAGGGGATCTGACACCTTCACACCAATACACATAAAATAAAGTTAAATAAATTATTAAAAGAAAAAAGTTGCTGTGGTCATGGTGTCTCTTCACAGCAATAGAAACCCTACCTAAGACACAAACCAAACAATTTTTCTACATGTGTGTATGTGTTCACACACAGGCATGTACATGTGCCACAATATGCATGTGGAAGCCACAAGGACAACTCCTGGGAGTCAGTTCTCTCCTATCATGTAACAACTAGGGATCACACTCAGGTTGTTAGGCTTGGCGACAAGTGCCTTTACCCACTGAGCCATCTTGCCGCCCCAGATGTATTTCTTGTACTTGTGTTAAAGTCCTGCACAGCTACCACTCTCCACTTACTTGAGCAGTTCTCTGTGGCTTCTTGCTTCCTTCATCTGCTCATACAACACATCAAACCTAACCCTGGTGTTTCTCAGAAAGGCAAGTGCTCCTGATGTACTTTTGCCATATATCACCCCGTGTTCAATACTTAATAATGAACACACAGGTCCTTTAGTACAATACATACATTTTGAAGTCTTCTTACACTCACTTTGTAGTTTTAAAAAAAAGAGAGAAGAAAATTACTTGTAAAACTTGTTAGTTTAATGCAAATCAGTCTAATGGTGTAGTTCAGTTCTCATTGTTAGGATTCAGGCATTATGCTGGCCTGTCATCTGTACCCTGGCCAGCCCAGGGTGCTATGGCTGCTATGTCACTAGTAGTCAGCACGAAGGTGCAAAGGTCTCTTTAAAAGGAAAACTCCACCCACTTCCGCTGTCTTTCCTGTTCCTCTGAAGGAGCAGACAAAGGACTTTTCCTGTCTCTTCCTCTCTTTCTCCCTCTTTCTCTTCTCAATCCCCTCTCCCTTCTTTCTCCACTCCCTTTCCTCTCCCCCGCCCCCAAACTTCCCACTTAAGCTCTGTCTGCCTGGTGTGTTTGTCCCTTGCCCACCATGGGACCTATGGAGGCTCCACCTCATGCTGTATTATAGCACTCGTGGTACAGACATTTATCTCCCATGGCATTCTTATGAGGTTTTCATTATCCTAGACTTGTAATTTTTATTTGTCTTAAAAAAAAAAACAAAAAACGAAAAACACAAGCAACCTACCAAGTCTGGCTAGGCAGAATCCCCTAGTCTTTAGCCATGTACCACAGTGTCCATCCTCTTAAGACTTTATACATTGTTTGCTTTCCTAATTCTATAAGAAGACAGCCTCACCAACTCTTATACACACAGTATAAGCATAATAAATACATTTCATACTTGGCACTCAAAAGCTGCGGGGGAGGGCAAGCTACTTGTTACATTTTTAAGAAAATACTTTGTGGAATATAATTACATGACACTAAATGAATGCAAGGTTGGAATGGTGCAACTCAGTTCACAATACAGCATACCTTATTATTTTTAAGTATTTTAAAGTTTATTAAGACGTACTTACCTCACTGACTCGCTTGTCAGCCTTAAGCCGGATCACCCTTTCCTCCTTCAACTGCTGTAGGCATTCGTTCAGTTTCTCCTAGTATGAAGAAATGGTAATTAAGGTACACTCTGATGCCTCAACTGTCCCATTACACAGTCCACAAAGAACTTAGGGACAGAGCCAGAAGTAACCTTAGACAGTACAATGACATACATCATTAACTAACTACATGTACTCATACCAGCTAGTGCAGTTAATTACTAAAATGTATCAAATGAATACATTACAGACTCACTTGAATCCCACTCTAACTTGAGTTGCAGTGCTTACTATAAAAAGCATATGCATGTAACAGAGTTAGTGAATCACCAATAACAAATTAAAGCCATGAAAGGAAAATGTTTCTGGGTTCCTCATAATAGAAAACTCAGTAACATTCTTTTTTGGGGGGAGGAGGGGTTGTTTTTTGTTTTTCATGGCAGGGTTTCTCTGTACAGCTCTCTGACTGTCCTGGAACTCACTCTGTAGATCAGGCTGGCTTTGAATGCTCTATAGACCAGGCTGGCCTCAAACTCAGAGATCCATCTGCCTCTGCCTCCCCGGTGCAGGATTAAAGGCGTGTGCCACTACCCAGGGTCTGTAACATTCTTAACACACCTGAACCTTCTAACTGCAACAAAAAATGCATACTTAAAAATGTAAACATGGATTCCGCCGACCGACCCAGGAACTAGAGCCCTCATCCAGTGGCTGATGGAAGCAGAGACAGACACCCACAGATATACAC